TATATACTATTCATATTTGATTTATTTATAATTCTGTACAGTTTGGATTGAATTTATACAATTATTGATCGATTCACAACCCGAACACGTCACGGGTGAACTTATTGTTATTCGTGTATTTTAAATATAGTAAAATTATTTATTAAAATTTTTTAATTGAAACATATAATTTATAACAAAGCAGTTACAATCAATTGTGAAACAGTTACACAGAAAATTGAAGCAATTATACAAGAATTAACGAAATAGTTTTACAGAAAATTGAAACAGTTATAGAAAAATTAACGAAACATTTACAATAATCTTAAAGAAACAGTTACTCGTAATTATTTGTCAAACTAATATAAATACTGACCTAGTTGCAGAATAGGGACTGTTATTGAATTTTATGTAGATCAAGACTAATGTTTGACATTATATCCTTCAGACAGATTTCACCCTCACATATGGTGTTTATGAAATATAAAACGCCTGCCTCCCATGATACAATGATCTTTACACGAGTAAAAGTAACATTCCAATCTACCCATCCAGCGAATCAAAAATTGTATTGTGTATTCTCCAAAATGTAGATTGTCTTAATGATATATAAGACTATCTTAAATGACTAAGAATGTATTGGATGCAAAATAATTTTATGACTGAGTTATTTATAGAGAAAATGGTGATTGATCTGAGAAGTCACCATGTGAACGGATTTAACCCAGCAGTCACGTGCAACCAGAAGACAACATTTGTATAACTGTTCTCTATGAACAGATACAACTCAGATTTCAGACTGGAGGGAAGTAAAAAATCCGAACCAATGCAATCCAACATATACCAAAAATTAAATTTCAAAGTAAAAAATTCACGTCCACTTAATTAAACGAATTTTTTCAAAAAAAATAGGGCTTGGTCTAAACCACAACCACACCTGAGCCCAACTTGGTCGTGTGTTGTAGAACCAAAGACATACAAACGTTCGCACACGCTCATAAAATTGTGATACCCCTTGGGGCCCAATCTCATAAAACAAATTTGACATATAAATATATCCATCTAGAATTTTTTCTTCAACCAATGTAGGATTGGTGTCAAATCTCATATTACACAACCTTTATTTTCACATTTCAAGAGGGTCACTTTGAAACTTAATTTCTCATTCATTTTTTCTTCGATTTGAACAAGTGAATATACTACATTATTCTTCTCATGGAGTAAAATACGAACCACGAAAATTTACTTGAAACAATGAACGAGTCTCACTTTAATTTAGGTTCAAAATCGACCAAAAATTTGAGTTTTACGCTTAAGAAATTGTTTTGATCCAACATGATAAATTCATGACAATTTTATACCGGATTTACAAATTATATAAAGAATGTGAAAAGTCACACTGTAGAGCCACTTGTATTAGCCAAGCAAGCATTGGCATAATATCCGGCTAATCACAATGATTATGATTTTAGTCACCAACTTGTAGCAACTGTTTACACACATGCATCCTTGTATGTTGGACGACATCTTTTGTTGTAATAAACAGGTTAGGTAAGAGATTCGATCTTGTAAAGTTTGAGATGTTTAACAAATTGATTTCGATTGTTGACAAAAAAACATGTTATATCGTATTTTAATTTTAACTTAATTTCCACATCACAAAATTTATACTACATTATATTACGAGAACATTTAGAATATAACACGGGCTTAATTACAATTTATTTTACTCGTTGTACACTCACATATTATTTATACTAATAATTCTTTATTAAAAGTCCTTATGTATACTTTATCTTTTTATATTTCAAATCAAATTATATCGGGTCGGTTTGGGTTAGATAAGTTGCATAGAAAATTTATATTTCTCTCTCTTTTTTTTTTTTTTTGGGTTGACACCATGTGGATGCTATGAGATCGAAAGACAATACATTGAATGGAGCTTTTATTTTCAATTTCAACACATTTTCCTTCCCATAATGTATAGAGATATACATAAATACGTATATCACTATAAAAGTATAGGCATTGAATATAGCTTTAATATCTCCAACGCTTATCTGTTTTTTTTCAAATAAATGCTGTGTAGTCAGCACTAAACATCAACTTTGAACAAAGATTAAGAATTATAGCATTAGTTCTTGCATTCAGGGGACTCCGTCCCGTTACGCTGCTCGTCCTATTAGCTCGTGACAATAGTGGTAATTGATGAATTTAAGTTAATTTTAGATTATATATTGTACAACGAAATTGGTTAATAGATTTATATTTTCTTAGGAACCAAACCTATATGCACGAAGAATCTATTTATTTATAATATTACAATTTGAACTTAATAAAAAAAATTAATACGTCATTGAATTGCTATGTACCATTTATAATTAAAAGTCCTACTACTCTTCAATTATGCATAAATTCTAGTGAAATCGAAGAACAGTTGAACTTTAATATGGAGATCAATCATCCTGTAAATAGATGAGAAGATACTAACTACTACTACTATAATAAGTTGACTAAAAGACAAGACGAAACAACTCGTATGCAATTACAACTGGGGGAAGGAGTATAATTTACTTGAATGACAGTTCGATCGCTATCATAAAAATTAGTACAGTAAAGAGACACCGATCCTAGGATTCCGAGTGTGTGTGAGGGTAACTACTCTGGTCTTTATCACCAATTAGCTCCACCAAAAGGAAGGGTTTTTTCTTTAATTTGAAGCCAAATTATACCTAAATTACCAGAAATAACCCAATTGTAGAAAAAGTTTTTCTATACCACATTAAGTGTCTCGGTGGTGTCACTTATAATTACATGGATGCCCATGACATTGCAATAATAATTATATCATAGACTTTAAATTTCGTGTAGAGATGGCACTAGATAATGGTGGGGGCAGGGGGAATAATTTTCTGTCCACCCATGTAACTGCTTTAAAAATATTCGTTCATACTTGTTAGTAGGGAAAATTTTAATTCGCGTCCTTGCTCATAACAATTAATTTATATAATTTTGTTTAAAAAAATTCATAAAACCTTATAAATAGATCTGCAAAAAAAAATGAAAACCCATAATATAACAGATGAATCAAACATAAAAACTCACAAGAAGTGGGTGGGAGGCTGAGTGGAGTTTGTGTTTTGGTGATATTTTATATGGATCTCGGGTTTTGCGGTGAGGAGATGAGTTTCAGTCCATCCTTACCTTTGTCTCTACACGGGTTTATACGAGTATTTTCATATATGTCTATTGTTCAATACGTATTGGTTCATTTTCGATTCAAAGAAAACGAGTTTAAACGAATACCCATTTTCCCTCAGTCCACTGACATCCAAATTAATTTTACGGATTAGAGGTGTTTTTCGGTTATGTAATCCTGGGTTTGCACCGCACCCCTTCATAAACCAAGCTGGCCAAATTAATCCGGTTCGGCAGTGGCAAGAGAACCTTTTAATCTTTAGTTTAGCTGTAATTCTTGTCTGACGTAATGTCATTAAAAATGTTATTTATTACAATAGCTGATGAGGCGGAGTGGTATATTCTACCTAACTCAAAAAAGTAGTATATACTAAACTACAACATTGAATTGAAATATCAAAAGGGCAAAGAAAATTAGAGTAGATTACAGATGCAGACAAATTAGGGACCATTTAATGCACTAGAGCAACCAGTGGCTCCATCCCACGATCACACCAAACATACCTACCCTACCCAAAGCAATGGAAGAGAAAATTTTCATTTTTTTTTTGTTTGGTTTACAATATGGGATTGCAAAGTTGCCTGTTTGTCTAATATATTTCCATGCTGTAAGGGCAAATTCGTGTGCATGGTTTATGACGGATACCCTTACGTCCACGAAGGAATAGTTTATAATTGGAGTGATAATTGTGTCGTATCGTATTTGTATTGTATTATTTTAGATTTATGTCGAGTACTAATCAATTTTAATCTAACCTGTTTAATTAATTAATTAATTGTGTCACGTCGTGTGGATTTTTTTATTTTCGTATTGTGTTCATGTTAACCTATATAACACGTGAATAAAAAATTTAATGCTCAATTTTATATCTAAAATTTTATTATCATTTAATCGAACTTATGCTCATACTTTTTTAAAAAAATTAAAAACTAATTTATTAAATATAATAATAATAAAAAAATATATTTTTGTATAACAATTAGATAACTACTTGATAAAATATAATGAAAATTTGACATTTTATTCTTATAATACTACTTAAATGTGTCAATCTCGTGTTGTTCATGTTTGACACTAACACAACCTATTTATTATTTGCGTTAACGAGTCGTGTTATATATGAATTTTTATCGAGAAATAGTCAATCATAACTATTAATTTTATGTTGATTTTAAGTCATATTTTAGTGTTATGTCAAAAAATATCACCACCCATAATCTATAGTTTTGATTTGGATACAATACTAAAAAGATAAAAGAATATCATTCAATCGGGTTAAGTGAATACTTAATAAGCATACTAATATTATAATTAATCTCAAAACATTGAAATCAACCCACACCAATTTATGTCATATTATATTGATTCCATTAAAGAGTGTACTTGTAGTTGAGACACCGCACCCAACCATACCCTCCTAATTCCCAGAGAGAGTATCCAACTACTGTTATTGACAGCTGGAATCCTAAAACCAAACCATTATTCTGGTGATCTTTTTAATTCACGTCTATGCTGCTTTAATACAGAGGAGTTACTCTTAAATATGGATTTGAATCTCTAGATCCGAGTTAGTTCCTTTACTGCATGCATGACGACGACAGCTCCTCTGAAGACATGTAATAAAGAGGAATTAATCTTCAAGAGTAAGTGTTTTACTCATACTATCTTATATGATCTGAGTTTCTCTACCGCAAATGTCCTTCGAATCCTAGTCCATACAGTCTTTTAAGATGGTTTTCAATGCCATTTATGACGACAATCAGCTTATTACATTTTTATTCCATCGATGGGTTTAGTAACAGCTGCTTAACTGAATGAGGGAGGCAATTGGCAAGTCATCAAATAAATCCAGCTTCTTGCAGATAAACGCTTAACAAATTCAATGAGATAGATAGAGGGGGGAAGAGAAATTTAAAGCTAAACAGATCACTATTATTGGGACACTACCATTATAAACTTCGAAACAAGTGCTAAATTACTATAGTGAAAGAGGAAGAACTAACGGCCGTTAGCCAGTGGGCTAACGATGGTATCCTTGCAAGGACTTGGTGGCAGACTACTCCTTCCCAAAGCAATAAGCCGGTGCACGAAGCTTCCGATTCTCTGTCCGTTAGTCTCCATCAGTAACCGTTTACCGCCAAAAGGTAACGACTCTATCCCCTTCTCCTCCATGATTTCCTTCATTCTCGGCCCCACTCCTCCACTCCCGTAACTGTTCGCCTGTACATTTTCAACGCCGTTAACAACAATCGAAATCTATACAAAAATTAACCTAGATTTATGCCCAAAACTAATCTAAAATTGAATTAATTAAGCTATAGCTACCTGAATTCTGACGTAATCAGAGCGGTTCCAACAAAAGGCGTTGCCTAACATTTGGTCTATGGTTTCTGAGACGCCGTCAAGAACTATGTCGACGACTGAAGACGTCGCGCAGTCACCGTTACGACGGAGCTTCAAGTGAGACGGACTGCTGGAAGGTCCGTTACCAAGAGAGAGAACTAAGAGGTCTTCGATACCGGTAACGGCAGGAAAGTCACGTTTGTTGTGCAGGACGTGAGTGATGGCTGCTGCTGTTGGGTTGTTCATGACGAGACCGCCGTCGACGGCCAAACAAGATGTTTTTCCATCAACAGACGCTAGGTTAAAGGGCCTGAACTTGGACGGAGTGGCTAACGTGGCACGGCACACCTTCCAGAGCTCGAAATCGTAACTCGGTGACTCGGACGCGTCGGCTCGTGAGAAAACGAACGGCGCTGAGCTGTTGAGGTCAAAGCAAGGCACAAGCAGAGGCTTACACGTGTCCTTTAACGTCAACACCTTACCGTCCTCTCTCCTCAACAACTCTTTCAACACCTTATCCATGCTCATGCTTGAAAACCGCTGATGCCGGCGAAAAACGCCAACGTTTTTGACCTTGAACAGTTCGGACTGTTTCTGAATGACGAACTGGACGGCGTCTTTGGCGGTGAAGAGTGGACGGCCATTGCCATCGTCGGCGGTGAGCATTGAGGCGAAGAGAGCGCCGATTCCAGTACCAGCGATTATGTCGAAGAAATCGGCGATTCTAGAGTTAGAATCTCCAGTTTTGGCTCGGATCTGATCTTCGAGGTGGATCAAGGCAGCACCAGCGACAATGCCTGTGGTTCCGCCGCCGTCTATACTGAGAACTCTCGTCTTTTTGCCTTCGCAGTGGTAAAGCCACTTCTGCTCAAGCTTAGAAAAGATCTCCAACGTCACTTGACTCAAGTCCATGGCCATCTCTCACTATATTCCTAGAGAGAAAAACAAATAAATAAAGCAAATAAATAATCACTCTGTTCGTTGATTTTGTGAATTTGAAGCAATATGGAGTATAGAGGCTGTAGCCTACAGTGAGCTTCGTAGGGTGTGTTCTGTTCTGAGACAAAATCCGTGAAAAAGCGAGAGGTCACGCTTTCGTTCTGAGAGACATTAATGGCGTACAGGATGCTCTCTCTCACTCACCTTCTCTGAGTGAAAAACTCTTTCTCTCTCTGAAACTGAGTCCTCTCTCTCTCTCCCCCAAATTGTCACACAGATAGCATCTCTCTATTTCTGCCTATTAAAACGAGGAGTGTTGGGGAGACTGGTGGAGGAGGGTGGTTATATATACGCGGATTCTTTTTATGTTCCTTTCTGTTTGCGTTTGCCCCATTTTCGATGTTTGTTGTAAGTTATTATGTTGTACTGTGGGGCACTGTATTTTTCACCCTTTAATTTATCTTTCTGACTTTGTTATTACTCTTTAATTATTTTATTGTTATTTTAATAGTTTTTACTGTTTTACTTTTAACAGTGTCTTGTTTGGACGCACGTGCCAGATGCGTGCCATTTCATAGGATACCGGGAAACGTTAATCTCGGCTTTTCAGCCGGATTTTGGTTGTTGGTTTTACTCGAGTTCCTCCTTTATAGTCTCTTTCCAGTAGTTTGACTTCAATATCAAAGAAGAACAAGATAACCGGATCCGGATCCGGATCCATTACACTTTGGATCTGGTTATTTTCATTTTTTTTTTATAACTTTTTAATGATGAATCATCTTTCATGTATTGACAAAAAATTCACTAGCTTCAAAAAACATATTGAAGCAAATCGTAATCCAAATCCCCATGAATTTTTATTAGTTATTTTCCCTATAAACTAATTTCATAAATATTCAATATATTGATATTTAATAATTTAAATGTACTGAGAAGATGTTATGTGACAAAATTTGAGGAAAGATGGAAGATGATCAGTAAAAATCATATTTGATAAGAGAAATAACTAAATATAGATTACTAGTTAAATAATTGTCGATGAAAACAAAAACTGTTGAGATCATTGGCTATAAAAAGACACATAGTGGAAGATGAAATATACACTATATCCCCCCCTCCCCATTAATAAAAGGAGTAAAATATTAACTTTAATAATGGAATCACATTAATTTTGTCATATAGTATTATCGATCAATAATTAATAAACCAAAAGAACAAGTGAACCCTATTAATCTCACACGGTAGTTGTTTTTTGTTTTGGTAAACTTCTCACACAATAGTTAGGGAACGTCAAAAGTTATTAGTGCCTATAAAATTTGATGGAATTCACTAGTCCTACATATTTATTCTTAATTAATTAATGACACTAAGGGACAATAGCGATAATGACATGGTATTTTAGTGAATATTTTCTCCTAAGAAAGGAGCTACAGATACCATGTGAGGATATATATACTTCATATTAAGGTTGAAGTTTAATTACAAAAATGGGAACATGTTTGCGCACAAGAAACCTACGTTGAATTTTGACCACAACGTGTGAAGTGTAGAGAAGAAAGACAATAGAATGCAACAAATACCTAACTGACAACGCATTTGCTTTCTGATTTCCCGAGAAGTCATAGGCACACCAAAGTTTCTCAAAACATAAATTGCACCTAACTTGAGTGTTTGAATAGAACTAATTCCTATAATATTATCCAACTATATTGTTTGGATGGATGAGGAACTGCCATCATTCAAGATCATGCCTGAAACTAGTGTTCGGGTAACCTAATTTTCAAAACCCAAAACGCTAAAAAAAAATAAAGTGACTCTGGTGATGCTGAAAAAAACATATTGTTTTGGGTTAGTGGAAGTGATAATGCTCTAGATCAGATGTATGTATGTAAAAGTGAAGGTGAAGACACCATTTTCGGGTTCGAACTCATAAACGTGTATGTTTAGATAAACGAGCAATTGTCATCGTTGCCGATCCTGTGTATAACTAGTGTTTGCATAAAGCCATAAACTAATTTGCCAAACCCAAGTACATCAAAAAGATTCAAAGATTAAGACTATTTTTTCGGTTAGTGGAAGTGATTATGTTCTAGAATTAAGTAGAAGTGAAGGTAAAGAAAGCTTATTATCAGATTTGGCTTTTGGCTGAAATCCCTTTCATTTGATATGCCATAAGAACAAATTAAAAAATGAGATACCTGAACTCTGATTGCCCCCTGCTAGTGTATGTGATTCTTTTATAGCTTTATCAAAAGAAGATATAGAAACTTCCTTACTAATTTACCAATTTCCCATCAAGATTCCCCCAACCCCAAAAAAAAAATTTCAATCAAGAAAACTCTCACTGATCAAATGTTTTCCTCTTCGTAACAAAACAAAGTTCGACGAACTGTGAATTCAAACGTCCTGAATTCGAATCTTAGTAATTCTTTAGTCAAACTATATCCCTCGTGGATATTATAGTCCCAGAGTGAATAACTTACATTTAATCAGACCGGAAATAGAATTAATTAAGATGCACATAAACTGATTTGAACATCTCTTGAACCACATATATATTCCTCCAAATTGTAATATGATATAGCAATTCTCCAAAAATAAAAAAATGGAATATATTTATGTCGTAACTCCTAATTCGGGTTTGAATACACAAAATCTTACATGGCTCACTATTTAATTTCTGATGAAACTTATGGAGATTAGGAAGATGTCTACTTCTTTGAACTTCTCATAAATAGACGTAACACGGGATGGGAAAGTTCACTAGCAATTTGTAGGCCGTTTGTTTTCTGTCCTTTTGGATGGGTATGCAATTGCAAGCATCACATCCTTTTGGAGTGTTACATTAATGGTTGGTGAGTCCACCCAAATGTTTGACATGTTCTACAAAAGTGAAATCTCTCAAATTTACTGCCAAACTACTTGAAGAATTTTCATATGCCTAGTTTAGAAATTGCCAACCATTTTGATTGGAACGGATGTAGACCCATGACTAGACCAACTTTGAAACAGATGTAAATCTCAGCAACGGGCATGGACTTTCCAAGGCCTCTGTCCAAATAGTTTTTCTTCACTTTCTAAAAGTCTGATATATTTTTTGATTCTGTTGTTTAATTTTGCATTTCTATGCCAATGGGCTCTGAGTGCCAGGTCTATCCGATGGCCCACCTTTTGTAAGCCTATATCGGACCAAAAACAAGACCCATGACCCCACACACTGCCCTATCAGGCTACCCACCATGGCAAGACTAGCCAAGGCGAAAGAAGATGATTTGCTTCCTAATGAAGCATTAAAAACAGATTGTACTGATGCAGAAATTTTACAGTCTGAACAAAGTAATAAAAACATTTCAAACTGCTGCATCTCCTCTTCCTCTTATTCTCATGCCTCGGACGAAAAAATCATAAAAAAGGACGGTAGGTCTATTCCTGCCCCCATAAATATTTATTCTCACCCCATATAATTCTCAGTATCAAACTACAAAGTACATATCTTCTATACTCACCCCATTAACAACTAAATTCATCTTATGCTACATACACCCCCTTTAAAAAAAAAAAAAAAAAAGAACAAAACAAGAAAAAAAGAAAGAAACAAATCGAAATAAGAAGGAAAAAAAAACTAAACAAAGATTAAAGAAACAAGTAAAACTACAAGACGCAAAATCAAACATAAAAAAAAAATAAACATCAAACACAGAAAAGCATCAAGTTCGGACACAATCGAACACAAAAAAAAAAATAATTTGAAAACACACACACACACATATATACAAATTCTAGATAAAAAATTATTAAGGTTAACTGAGATATCAAAACATACAAAAAATAATAAAAATTCATAAAATAAACATGAAATCAAATATATAATTAAATTGAAAAATAATACTAACATGTATTTCACTGAAAAAATTTATATTAAAAAATGTTTTTATGAGTGTATGAGATAAGATATAGAATCAAATCTTAATTATGATAAAATATAAGTGGGTTTACTTATTAAAGAGGGTATATGTATCATGAGATGGGATTAGTTGCTAATGGAGTAGGTATAGAAGGGATAAATGTAGTTTGATAATGAGAAATAAATAGAGTGAGAATAGAGATTTGTGGAATGAGAAAAATCCCACCCCGAAAAGAAAGTCAAAAAAGCACTACTTCCATTCCGATCCAGCTTCTTCAGGCGTTTTCTTACCGGGAAATAGAAGATGTTCTAACGAAAAAATTCCAGGGTTCCCACTCCTGTCCTAACTTTGCCGGCAACAAAGTATACCTAAGGGAGAAAAGGAAACACGAACAGTATACAAATTTCAGACCTTGAACAAAAATAATTAATGGGCAATGTGAAACTTACATAAACCTCATATCTTCCATATCAGTAACCGCAACCTCAATCTTCAATTTCCTAATTCGCATCAACACTCAAGTTGACGCCTCATTCTTATTGTACTTTCCATATTGTCTAGAGACGCCAGACATCGGAAATGTGTATCCCACAACTGCAGATATATAGCAAAGGCAATCCATCACCCTCAATTACAAGTGACTTCAAAAAAGAGTTTTTCCAGTCACTTCCAATTTTCCTTTAGAACCTCCTATTGCCAACAAAAAGGGGCAATCCTCTGAGAAGGAAATGGAAAAGACAGCTCCCTGATAACCATTAGAATAAAGTGTGATAGTACTCTCATAGTGACTAATGTGTATATCTCATTTAGAACAAGATGTGACACTCCTTATATTAATAAATTAATAATAAAGAAGCATATATGGACATAAACATGCATTGATCTAATTTCTGAACCACTATTATCCCATGTTTGGCCCAATATTCCACAAGGGTTTCAGAACAACGAAAAAAAAAAAACCAAAGAATAACATACTGCATTACGATTCACATAGACGCAACACATGAAGATTGGTTGTGTTACAGATCCCAGAGTTTTACCTGCCGCAAAAGAAAAGAGAGGCATTGTTAAATTAGGTGTTCATAAATAATAACTTGCAGGTTAGACAAACATATATGTGAAAGCAAAAGATGTAAACCAAAAAAAGCAACACGATAAAATCACCATTTTATTGGTGGAACCAGTTGCAAGAAGCTGCAAAAGATTAGGAGGAAAAGTCAGTACAAGCAACGGGAGTTAAATTATTAAAAATAAAGACAAGAGAGCAGAAGAGATATGTGCATTTGGAGCCAAAGGATGATAGGAAACCGTGCAAACAGCTTTGTCATGTGCATGTAGAGTGAACTTAGAAGATAAATCAAACTTAGCTACCCGAATATCAAAACCAGAGCTGTACCATTCTCAAGCCTCACGTGAAAACACAATCATAGGACTAATATTCAGTTCCGTAAGACCAATTAAATTTGAATGTACCCCAAAATTGATAGTTCCATTCAGGATGAAAAGCAGACCAGATAAATGAGTGCACAGTTTGAGGTTGGTAACAACTGATCACTTAAATCCAGTATGTGACAGTATTCTTCAATCCTTCTAGGCTTCTACAGCACATTGTTTCAAGACAAGTTAACTTTCAGCAAACTAGAGATCTGAATGAATGTAGTAAACCAAAAATTGTCTGAGTAATGATGAATGGCAAAGACAAGAAAAATCTGCTGCCATGACAATTGCATAGTCCAAAGAACCACTGAGAAGAACTTTGTGGTACATGATGATTCCACGCAGAAAAACAATGAGGGTTGATCAATTACGTCTCCAAGAACAATGTCATCAATCTAGATTCTAGCAAGATCAAAGTCCACAGTCCACGTAAATGTCCAGGTCCCATATTTAATTGGCTAGTTTCATTGAGCCAACAGCTATAGAGTTCCCTGCCAACATGCCAAACTTGTTTACCAGTGACATTCATGTCAGGAAAAAAAAAGAAGAAAAATAAGAGAATGGGGGAACGGGGATGAATAATTCTACACAACACAAGAAGGCATCTTATCAATGTTCACTGAAGAAGGAAGTTGATCATCTCATGTGTATTAACAAGACAGAAAAAAGGAAGCTTCTACTGTAAAATGCTTTTCAGAACAAGTTTTGCAGATAAAGCAGCAGCAGTATAAAACTTTGTCAACCGTTTAAAATTAGTAGACACCTTCTCGTAATAGGGATCCAAAATTCTAAAACAACAGACCATCGAATAAACCTCGCACAATTCTTTATTTTTCATGGTTATGAAATCCTTTAAAAGTAGAAATCTGATCCCAATAGTCTCTTTCTGAACAGCGCAATGAGTCTCCATTTTTATGATTACACATATATATAAATGGAATTGCCCTAAAGCACCCGCAACCAGCAGGAGTCAGTCGGAAAGATCATAATGATAAAAGTGCATGCCGCCTTCCGAACCATAGTTTCACAGCAGTTATAAAACCAAAAAGAGAAAAGAATAAATTCTAAAAAAAACTTTCCAAACAGAAATCTTTCTAAAGAAGCTTTACGGATGGATAAAGCTAGATAACATGATATGACCGTGAAGATATGCAAAAACCAACACATGAGCTTGCACAAACAAATATACTACAATCATAAAGTGTAAATCTATCAACAGCTTTTTCTCCACCTTTGAGCGGACAATCAAGCCATGCTGTGCAGAGGGTAAAAGCTGGAATGATTATATAATGGTGGACGTACATGCTTGGATCACCATCAGCTGCATCCTCCAATATCCGGAACTATTTGTAGAGATGGAGATCACCAATGAATGACAGACAGGCATCTTTAAAAGCCTAGAGGGGGTGAAACCATGCATATGCAACTGAGTATTACATGCCTCAAGATGGCTGACATCATCTTCATTACATGCATAAACTGTGACAACATCGTCAACTTTTATGGTCAAGTCCTCAAGCTCTTCAGAATCATCATCCTGAAAGAACAAAAACCAAACAAATTAAAAAATGAAATAAATTGAGAAATAAAACTGCAATTTTAGCACGATAGTCAAAGAAGTAAAGAAAGCCAAACATTTATGTAGGTGGTCAAACTCACATCCTTATCCTTCCGATATGGGTCCATGTCATTACTTGGGTAATAACTGTCAGCTTAAAAGCAGGCTTGGACATGAATATTCATAAAGACGACTAAGATAAAGAAAATTCAGACAATCTTATACAATTAATCTAAGTCATCAGTGAGATAAAATCATGGGTGTATACTTATATGATGCTTCCAACTTGACTATAACCTAAACCTTGACCATCAATAATTCAATATTTCAAGTTGAATGTGTATGAATGTATGTATGGATGTATGCGTTTGCTTATGGAGACAGCAATACCATTATCCTCTTCATCATAAAGTTCTGGGTTATTGGAAGATTTTCCAAGTAAATCAGCTGCAGCTAATGCATGTGCGACTTCATCATCCTGATAGGCAGCATCAACATCCATATCTCCCTCATAGCGCTCACTTTCACTATCGCCACTGCTAGAAACAGAAGACAACCAAAGTACCCACTGGGGTAGGTGTTCAACCAAAATACAAGATATTACGAATTCAATTCGATTGCAGCAACAATTAGCTTTTCCATCTCTTCTAACAATCTACTTAAAAATTTATCTTAAAAATAAAAATATCAGAACTGTGACTTTCCGTATAACCATTTTCTCAATAACACAACGTTGAGATTTAATCGAAAAGTAACATAGGAAAATCAAGAAGCTGCTGAAGAAGCCAATTAATTCACTGTTCTCCTGGACCCATTCGTGGGGTAATGTCTGACTTAAATTCACCACCAGCAGGATAAAGAAGAAGAAGAAGAAGAAGAAGAACAGGAAAGGTATTACCATATCTCAAGAACACCACTCTTTAGTAGCTATTCAATCTCCTCGTTTGAAAAGTTGAAGCAGACAAACAAACTAACAACGTCCGACAGATTATGAGATTAATTAGCAAGCAATCCTCTGGTTTTCGTTCTCACTCGCGGTGTTTCGATGTTTATGACTCTGACATCTTACCAAAGGCCTGACCTGAGGAATGACTGTTCCGACCTAAATTCCATTCTCTCTCTGTAAAATCTCTACTTCGATTGAAAATATGAAGGCTTGGTATACAGAGACCAGACTTAAAACCCTAGAATAGAACCCCCCATGCCATAACGACGCTCATTCTGCATTCTCCAAGCCTGATTCAGTCAGGAGAGGGTTTTGTTTTTAAAGCTTTTTTGGTAAGTAACCGACCCGGAGGTTGATGCAAATAAATTCCTGCATTTTTTGTTGCGGGCTTTGGGCCAATTCAATGGTCTCAAAAAAGTAGAAAAATGGGCCTTATATGTTAGTAGAGTCAGAAATAAAGTATAAAATGGGTTATTTGGAAATCGATACATTTAATTAGACTTATTTGATAAAAAAATACATAAAACAAAATATAAGTTAAAAAGACATAAATGCCTATTTTAGGATCATTTAATTCAAAATCTCTTATCTTTAATACACATTGATTCATTTGTGTTTGTTAATACATATAAACACGTATTTAATGTACCTTTGATTCATGTATATTTGTTAATATATATATATATATATATATAATTGTTTATATACACATATATACAAATATATATAATATACTTATTTAAACACACACACACACACATATATATATTTGTTGTTAAATTTCTTATTTAAATTTTGAATTATCTTTAATGCACTTTGATTCATGTGTATTTTTTTTTTTGAAAAGTGATTTTATTTTTAAATTATATTTAATATCCAAATAATGTAATAGTATAACAATAATAGTGTAACAAATACAATGTTCAGTAATTTTGTGTGTATGGTAACAAATTCAAAACGGAAATGGATTATTTTAAATGAAATTATATGAAACTATATGTTTGACAAAATGTAATAGTACAATATTTTGTATAAATAGCTTGTTACACTATTATTATTATACTGTTACATTGTTAGTGTTACACTTTATATTGTTATACTGTTATTGTTATATTATTACACTATTCAGATAGTAAATTAATTTAAAAATAAAACCACTTTCTAAAAAACAAAATGCATGAATCAAGGTGCATTAAAAAATAATTCAAAATTTAGATAAGAGATTTAACAGCAAGTATATACATACATAAGTATATATATATATATATATATATATTAAAATTCTCCCATAAAACTCGAAGATGTTTAATGCACCACTTTTCAAAGAAAAGTAGTGCATTAAATACACATATATTAATGGAGTGTAAAAATGTTACAATAAAAATAGATAAATTCAAATTATGTACTTGAATACAAATAAGTATCAAAATTAAGTATTTAATAATCCTACATTTTTTAGTGTGTACTTTTTGTCAAATAAATTTAATTTGGTGTACCGTCTTACAATTTACCTTATAAAAATCGACTCAAAACTTATACGACATAAAATTGAAAATAATAATTATAAAAATATGAACAATAAATAAATTAGATTAAAGTTAGATAAAAATATTGTGGTTAATTATAAATATAAATAAAATATATTTATTTTACAACTTTTAATTTTTTTAATATAATATCATATGAGTTGTTTTATAACAAAATAATTTTTTATTAAAACAAATACTAACCAAACTTTGAGGCACGATCTAAAAATAACACAACTCAAAATCAAGGTCGGCCTTGTTACAAAGCCAATGAAACTTAGGTTTTAGGCCACATATTCAAAGAAGACCCTAAATTTTTTAGTTGTATAGTTAGTCCAATTAAAAAAAAATTATATCCATAAGATTATAGGCCCCTAAAAAAATCTTATAAAATCTAAACCCAATTAAAAATAAGGAAAAATTGTGGGGGAGTACATTTTTTTGAAAATATTCCTGAAAAAGTCAATTACCCAAAATTTTAAGTTTATAAGTATAGTTTCTATAAAACATTTGGTGGATAAGTACTGTGCGTGCTGGATTTGTACAATATAAACACGAGAACAGATCTCTTTCTTGGTGAAGTCGAGTGAGTCAGTCGAGTGATCAACCCTACTGCTTGGAACAGTTTGTGAGGTCTGGTGGTAACCTGGAACGATAATGGGAGACCCTCATGGATCAACGGAACGATCCAGTAAGGCTGATGAAGGTTCCTAGAACAAATAAAGACAAGTTAGAAGGGTGTCGGAGTGTTTTTCGACATATCCCCTCCGACGATCAAGTCAGTTTTTGAGAGAGAGGAAGAAGAAAATACTGAATATAAGTTTGAGAAAAGGTTTCACCTTGTTCCCCCGTCTTGCCTTTTGTGAGAAGTATTTATACCTCAAAAACTCATGATTGCTGTCAGTGTGGTCAGTAGGTGATCATTAGATACGGGCAACGTGCGCATTGATTCCTATGAGGAATGTCTTCTCTTTTAACTGCTCGGGATCTCGAGCAACCAAGGCTGTGTCATCGGCCTGCCGACTGTTTAATGAGCTCCTCTAGGCAAAAATGTAATAAATGCCCAGCCTTAGGGACATTTATTTCCTTTCACTTTCGACCCTTACCGCATTAAATGTTGTCTCATCAAGGGAATGGTGTAATTAAATGCTTACTTTCCCAAGTCGTGTGTCAGCAAGGGCATCCGGTCTTTTTGTTTCTGATGTGATACAATATGCCACACATCCATTCCCCATTGGCTGTGTCCCCTGCCTTCTTGTGTCTTCTGACACCAATTGTGTAAGACGAGGTCATGATGGCTAATCCAGCCTAGCCTAGGCTAGTGACCTGTACATCAATAGCCTCTGTAGGATGAGAGAATGCCATCCTGGACAGGTACATCTCGGTACCGAGGGGGAATGGTATATGTAGGGACCGATGTACCCTATACAACCCCGAGGGATACGTGTTGGTATTTAACGTACTGGATGTCATTGATCCCTATGAACAGTACCTCGGGGAAACAGGGACTTGTGATCCGACGGGTACGTGTTGTGTTTATAGAAAAAAAATATACTGATGCCGAGGACACGTGTCTTCATCTTGGAGTACTTGAAAATGTCCCATCAAGTACATAATTTCAAATTTTCATATTTTAATAGTACATAAATGCACTTTGTTTATTTTAGGCAATATCTAGTAGTTTTTTTTTTATTCTATTTTTATTGAATGAGTGGTTTCTTATTTTAAGGGCAATTAAACGTTTGAATTTTAAAAAGATTACAAAATTTTTGGCAGTAAATTTTTTTTCTTTTTCATATCTTTATTTTTCAAATTTATGATTTTTCATATAGCAACCGATAAACATCATTAGTCTTTTTCAAGAGATTCATCAATTTTATCATATATCCTCAAGTCAGGTTTTTTTTTTTCGTGTTTTCTAATTACACAATCAGTTGGTGTCATGCATGTTCATATAATTATAATTATTTCATATAATTATACTCTCTCTACCAATGTTGAATTTTGATGTTTCGGGGTCAAAACAAAAAATTATAGGCAGTATGCTGTTGTCACTTTTCATGTACTATGACTTTACAAAATTGTTCTCTATGATACTTTCAAAGATCAACCAAAAAGGAGTTTTTCGCAACGACATTTTGTGTTCTTCCTGCAACACAATTTCGTGTATTGCCCTTATGATTGCAAACATGTTTGACGTGTACTGTGGATCTAGTGACATTTCCTTCACACTTGTTTTGGCATTTTTTATTGCTTCCTTACTAATTCTACCAGATGTTGACTCCACCACATTCCTTACCAATATTCTCATTTGTTTCCCCTAAGTTTTTTTTCGCTATTGTAGATCGTATTTTTGCCATGTCCTGTGTTCACAACAAAAAATTAGACATTTAAGAATTTGAATATTAATGTATCTAGTCACTGCATGTTATATCTGTATGTTTTTTTAATCTCTATTTAATGATAATTTAATAGTCACAATATGTTGTATATTTAATTGTTATATATGATAAATGCAATTTATTAAATTAGTCATCCATATACATTGTACCTCTGTGGATTAAGTTTCATAAATCTTTTATGAATTTTTAACAAATACAATGCTTACCCAAGCAACAGAATTATAACTTAAAGAGTTTCAAGAGAGTGACATTAATAAGAGTGACATTATAACTTAAATAGTGACATTATTTTAGTTTCTAAAAGAGTTACAACAAAATGTTACATAAAATTGCAGCATTATAACGTTTCTACTGTATGTTGTCAATGTGTATAAAGTTTTCCACGTATTATTAATTGAATATAAAGGTTAGTATATAATATATCAATACTGTTCTATAGTGTGTTACTAGGTTGTTACCATCATAACTATTTGGCCATATTTGAAACTTAAGGTAAAAATTCAATATATGTTGTATCACTATGAATTATCAACAATAAGTTATTAGTATATAGTGTAGTTGTATAAATAATCTTCAATACCATAGTGTTACATCATTCTAAATTTACAAATAGTACAAATTGTTATCCATATTGAAAGGTGTAATACAATAACTACATTTCCTAGTTGGAAAAAAATATCATTTTACAAAATCGAACATCTAATTATATGATTTAGTTTACTCAAAACATAGCAATTACACAATGCAACATTGAACATAAATTGAAATGAATTTTATGTATTAAATATCATTTAAAACACTATCTAAAATATGATGGTTTGGGATTTTTGATTTGAGGTTTGTATACTGCGACATTGAACATAAATTCAAAACGAAATTGTTGTAGCTTATTATTTGTGTAAACATAAATCTTTTATGAATTATTCAACAAATACAATGTTTACCCAAGTAACAGAGTTATAACGTAAAGAGTTTTAAAAGAGTGACACTAATAAGAGTGACATTATAAATTAAACAGTGAAATTATTTTAGGTTCTAAAAGAGTTATATGAAATTGCAGCATTATAACATTTCTACTGTATGCTGTCAATGTGTATAAAACTTTCTACGCATTATTAATTGAATATAAAAGTCATTATATAATGTATCAATACTGTTCCATAGTGTGTTACTAGGATGTCACCATCATATCTACTTGGCCATGTTAGAAGCTCTGGGTAAAAGTTAATATATGTTGTATCACTATAAATTATCAACAATAGGTTATCAGTATATAGTGTAACTGTGTAGATAATCTTCAATATCATATTGTTATATCATCCTAAAATAACAAATAATACAAATTGTTATCCATATTCAAAGATGTAATATAATAGTAACTATGTTTCTGAGTTGAAAAAAAAACATAATTTAACAAAATATGACATCTAATTATATGATTTGGTTTTCTCAAAACCTAGCAATTACACAATGTAACATTGCCCAAAAATTTCAAATGAATTTTATGTATTATATATCATTTATAACACTGTCTAAAATATGATGGATATCATTTAAAAATAAAAAAAAAAATTAACAAAACAATAAGGTTTTGGGATTCTTGATTTGAGGTTTGTATATTGCGACATTGAACATAAACTCAAATTGGAATTATTGTAGCTTATTAATTGTGTAAACATAATAAAAACTTTTAAGGATTTTGTTCAAAAAAAAAGAAAAAAAATAAATTACTGCCCAAATTAATACTTCTGATTTGGGGTTTTTTTTTGTTTAATTCATAAAAATAAAATAAAAACAAAAAAACCACAAAACTTATTGTTACAGAGTCACTGAGAAGGCCAGAACCTTATGATGACGCTAGAATTCCTCAACGATGCTGGAAGAACAATGACAACTTCAACGGAATTTTTTAGAACTCTCCATTGAAAGTGTGAAGATGTAACTGAGTAAAAAAAAAAAGTGTAAGATGTCGGCGAGAATGTGAAGGGATTTTGCACAAAACAAGGGATTCCATTAATGGGTTTCTTAAAAACTGGTTTAATAGAAAACTTTTCAATTTCTATTTTTAAATACATAAAAGATTTTTTTTTGTCTTTTCATGTCACAATGGACTTTTGTCCAACATGTTTTGCACAAGACTTTTTCACCAAAACTTCTTAGACCTTATACCGGCCTACAAAATTTCCTAAAAATAAATATAAGTAGTTTGGGCTCTTGAACCAACCCATAATAATAAAAATACATAAAAATATTTTTTTTTGGTTAAAAAGACAAAAGTCAAAGGTAAAAAAATTTAAACCGGTCAGTCAAAATATATAACTCATTTGTAACTTGAAGGCACAATGCAATGTGCATAATTTTGAGAGAGATATTTGTGACTATTGGATGAGTCTATTTAAGATCGTCGAATGAGCTTATTAAAATTTGCTTTATTTTATATTATAGAATTATAGATCCTTATAGCAAACTAATTCCCTCTCTCTCACTCTCTCTACTAAACGTAAATCCTCTTTTTTTTGTTATGATTTTTTTATTTCTATTACAAAAATTATACCAAAATATTTTTAATTTTTTATTAAACTTGAAAAATTAAAATCTTTAGACCATGATTGTTTTAAAGTAAAAGAAATTTTCAAAATTAAAATTGAAAAAATATTTCCTATGATTGATTATCATAAGAAATATTAAGTGGATTAGTAATACTATTAACATAACTATTAACATAAAACAAGATTTTACTTAAACATAAAAAATAATCGTACTTTTAATCTAGAAAAAAGAATAAATTTTAAATAAAAAATTATTAATACTAAAAATAACAAATCTCATTTTTAATTGTCACTTTAGGCATTAAATAATCTTGGACCGCCCCTATTCAAAATAATACGACACAAAAAATGACACAATACGACCCTTGACGAAATTACACCCCTAACCAGGAGCGGCAGAGTGGGTTCGTATTCCACGTAAAGTTAGGTCCAGACCATTTAGTGGGCTGACCGAATCAAATAATTGTACAACGGCTAGGCTAGGTGATCACTAATCATATCAGTTTATTTTAGGAACTTTTGAAAAATAGAAAATAAGAAGTTTTCTTCGTAATTTTTTTTTATTGCACAACGACTTCGATGAGATTCCAACATTGATGTCTACTGATACAATAATAGTGATGGATTAGATCGATAGATCGTATCAACAAATTAAGTTCAAATAATATAATTAATTTTTTAAGGTAAGTCTTCGCTGCTCATTTTAAAAGCTATTGAGACTAGTTATTTATGTTTCTAGAAATATTCAAAAATTAAATGACTTTCAAATGAAGTGCGAGCAAATCTAAATAGATAATAAGAGGTTGTTTGGATGATTTTTTGGGAGAGGTTTGGATTGGATTCTCTAAACTCTTCCAAACTAAAAACCCTCTTTATAAACATGTGATTCAACATTCAATCTCATCCATACTTATATTTGATATGCCCACAAATATATAATTATTATGGTAATGTATTTGTATATAAATGACTATGTTTATATATGTACATTTTCTTGTGTACATTATGGTTTTTATATTTGATTATTTTTTTCTTTGTAACTTATGAAAAAAAACATTAATGTTGATAAAATATAACTATTATTTAAAAACATAATAAAATGCAATTAAAGCAATAACCATAGTAGACATTGAAACATTGTACCATTTGGATAGGGTTTTGAGAGTATCATTGTCATTTTATAGTCAAAACCCATTAACCGTCATCCCAAACCTACCCCCCATGGGTTTGATGAAACCTATGATCTAAGGTTTAGATTCAGGCCTTGTAGCGGGTTAGGCTTGGTAACCTGGTCTTTAAATCTTTATCCAAACATGAGTTTTGTGTATAATTTGAACTATTTATCCCTAATTCATATTCCAAAGTCCCCCAAACCCACAAAATAAACAGCCCCTAAATATTTTTATTGTCTTTCTATAGTTGAAATGATATTGTTATTAATAATATTATAAGCATTTTTTATTATATTTATTGTTATTCTTGTTGTGGTGTATATGCCTGGAGAGTTAAAGAAATTCATTACCATCTTGATATGATCATGCTAAAAATCAGCCACAAAATAACCATAACAACTTGCATGGCCTCCCATACGAGAAAATATTGATGGTAACGGTGACACGACATTATTATTGTCATGTTATGTCACCATACAATAACAAATCAATATTTATATAAGTAGACTTGCTTAATTTAGTAATCACCTTATTCATATATGAAACACTAACACCATTAGAACATAATGTATTGTGACTGTTGAACACGTTACAACCAATATTTACTTAGACTCTTATCCTTTTGTTACGGGAAACAGACTGAAATATCCTTTGGAAGGGCTAAAGGACCGGAAAATTGATTCCATTCAAGTTGCACGGCCAATATTCATATTGGAGTTTTATTCAGGAGCTTTGCTTCTTTGACATTCTCTCTGTATCAACTGGCTATGTGGCTATGAAGGAGACACATTAAGGTGCCTTCAATCGAAGAGAATATATTCTGCATGGAAAGCTACGTTATTTAGATTAGAAGTGGAATAAAAATTGACCAATGAATCCTAGACGCTGGTTCAGTGTTCGGATAAGAGGTGAGACGTAAACATGTACATTCTAAGTTTAAGTATTTCACATAAAATCCCGAGAAATGACAACGCAATATTCTTTATGGGCTATAAATAGAGACTCTGAAACCAGATAATTGCATCCCGTAGATGAATTAGAGGAAGAGAGGTCTCACGTGAAGGGAAGAGCCTTGTTTACTAGCCAAGGATGATTTGCCTGCTTTCCTCCAACGGGTAACGTTAATTGTAGCCTTGTAGGCTATGTCTAGCTAGAAACCTTGTTTGGTTGCCAAGCAGGGAGTCTCCTTGGCCAAGTTGACAGGCTCTTCTCCATCATGCTAGTCCTTCTCTTCTTCCCCTTTATCTTCTTCATATGCATCAGATCGAGATTAAAGCCGACGCTATCTGTGTTAGCATGTATGATTTAAAATTAAATTTATTGTCATTTATTCATATTAATAATTTCAGCCCCATATTTATTTTATGATTATGTTTTTAAGTGGTTTTAATTTTTGATTGTTGAAATTCTTTAGGGAGAGTTGTATGTAATAACTACACATATCATTCCATTACCCATTAATACATATATATAGCTGTTGCAAATTCTAGACTTAGCTAACCATTACGTGCATTGGAGTTAAATGAGGCACTAGCCGTTTATGTCATATATCCCGTATATTCAGACTGCTTTAAAGGATAATGGCTATCCATTGATGTATATATAGACATGTGTTTTATCTTTTTTTTGGACAAAATAGACAAATTTGGCTATACATATTCTCCTTCATTCTTTACTGGTTTTTATGTGTTTTGTGGGTAACTTGGGTGTGATCAATTTGTCATAGAGGTTTACGCCTATACCGTACACGAATCTCTTCTTGGTGCAGCATTCATCCTGCACTTTAACCAAGATTATTCTGAACTTATTTTTTTTATCTAAGTTTCTATTGAGTTTGTTTAATATATTTTCATGTCTTATTAATTTATGAATCTGCAATTTTATGCTTTTTCTAACAATCTCATGTATGCACCTCGGAACATGAAGTGACACCGTCCATCATAACAAGGTTCAAGGCCCACAGAGACCAAGAAAAGTTCAGATTTCATCGCAAGTTCTCATGGCTCAGATGGGAAATGCAAATTATAAACCATAAGGTGAAGATCTCAATTCTTTTGCTGGGTCGTAAATCAATACGAGTGAAGCCCAGAGTGTTTTCGTTATCAAGTTCTAAAGAGTTTTGTAATGATGTATTAAGTGATAGAGTTCAATAAAAATAATTAATAATTACAATTATAATAATACTATTGAATCATATCACTATTATATTATTTAGAAAAAAAAACCTATTGCTAATTGGGCTGTCGTTCAACTTTCAATCTCACCACTGAAAAACCAGCGAATTACCATTATCGTAATTAACGTAAATTAAGTTTTTGGTTTAATGGTCAAAGTGTTTAAACCAACTTACTTTAGATTAAGTTTCACCGTCATCAAATAATAATGAAGTTAAAAACTAAGTTGTCTGAAAAACCAAAGACTCCCAAATGGCGAAGGTTTGACACATTAATCAAAGAAATCTTTACTAATAAGCAAAGCCACAAAATGCTAGAACCACCAAGGACAATCCAAGCTTACTAACGAGCAATCCCTTGGTTAAAGGAAGAGCAAGACCACTGTTGCGAGGACCGGGAACGTTTCCAGCTAAAGGTGAAGGCGCCGGAGATGGTGGTGGAGATGGCAGTGGCGATGGGTCGGAAGGAGCTGGAGCAGGGGTCGGAGTCTGTCCTGTGACGACCCTGATGTCAACCTTTTGTCCTTCTTGGCAGTGGCCAGGAAGGCTGCAAATGAAGTAGAAGTGGCCGGTTTTTTTGATGGTGAATAAGTCATTGCCAGTAGTGAAGTTGGCATAAGGAGTTGTTGCATTGCATGCATTGAAGTTTTTGTGGGTCACTCGTACAACGTTGTGAAATTGATTGTTATACTGAAAAACTGCAGATCATGCCATCAGGATACAAGCGTCTATAGAGAGAGAGAGAGAGAGAGAACACCCACAAGAATTTGAAGGCCTCTTTATTAATGATGAATAACAATAGTCAACTCCAACTCAAGAGAAGGTAAGAGAGTGATGAGTATTATGCAGTGGTGCAGTAATGCATCAGAAAAGCATGCTGTTTGCAGAGAAAATATAGGGTGTAATTGTTACTTCAACATTGTCAATTTTTTTTAACGGTTTAATGATAACTCACCAAATAAAAAAAAATAAATCCCATTTAATCAAATAACAACCATCCCTTATAAAAAAAAAAAAAGTTCACTTGGCCTCTTGTTTTTTTAAATATTGAACAATTACATTACATTACATACCAGGTGATATAACCGTTACACTTAATATTTACTTATTTTGCATGGGTAGAAAAGTTTGAAGTCATCCAATCAATCTTCAAACTTTCCTTCCTTTTTCTGGGATATTATACTGGAACCTCTCTGGGGAAATTTTGAACAATTAGACTTAAAAACACTAACCTGTTAATTAATGGAAGAAAAATAAAGATTGAAGTAATTTTGATATGATCGTGAGCAAAAAGACAGATAACTTCTTCTTCGTAGGTGCGGTGCAGTTCAGTCGTGAAAAGGGACTAAAATTTTAAAGAATAAAGAATAGGTTTTTGTTAGAGTTAGACTTCCTTTCCAATTGGAAGGGATAATTATTGTTCTGTTAACTTTAACTTTTCAATAGAATATAATTTAGAAACTTTGTAATTCCCAATCATAAAAGGATGGGTGAGTGTTCGGCTTGGCTGAATAGTGTGTTAAATTATAAAGGGGCCCACAAATAGTCATTATATATGTAAAGAAGATTTTTATGGAGGCTTATCGAAAAAAATATTTCTGTTGGGTGCCATTTCTATACTAAGAGGATTAAAATACTACTACTACATTAGTGGTTCTAAAAATTGGGATGGGAGGGGAGGGGAGGGGAGGCCATGGTGAAGCTCCGCCACTGTGTCCAGAGATAAGCCATTAAAAGTTCCCATTAAACAATGAAAATTACAGATAGTTCACCAAACGAAATGAAAGTAAAGAGGCCAGCCTCTTTCTGCCACAAACTTGCTACATCTATGGCACATAAAAACCCTAGTTTCCTATTGTAAAAAACGCCGATTCCATCGACTAGGCTTTATTTTCAATTCTAGTCTTATTGGTTTTCATGTTGGATCCGTTGCAAAACAGAAGCATACAACAAAGAATGAATGCTCAATTACGCCAAAAATGATGAAGAATGAAACTATCATGAAAGACAGTGCATCATCAATTGTTGCATGCAGAATGAAGCAAGTCAAAATAAATAAATAAATAAATAAAAACAATGAAATGAGATATTGGTTTTCACCGACACAAGTAAAAATCAGTACACACACAGTGATCATAAAATATAAATCATAGTTAATAATAATGAGAAGAAAGAGGAGAGTTAGATCAAAAAAAAAAAAAGAAGATGAAGAAGAAGAAAGAGGAGAGGGCTCACGGATTGAGTCTCCAACATGGAAGTTCTTGTTAGCCGACCAAGTCTTGTAATCAACATGGCCAATGTTTGTCCATCCAGTAGAGTCACCAACCCTATAAACCTCACCCATTGACACCCAACAGAAGGACATTACCATTAAGAAAAACCCTATTTTCTTACCCAAACCCATGGCTCAAGCACAAAGACAAACAGATAAAAGGCACTAGAGAGAGAGAGAGAGAGAGAGAGAGAGAGGGGCAGAAACTGATCTAGGGCAACGAAAAAACCACAAAGTCGGTGAAGAGAAGATGCATTGCGAGGATCGTATAAAATTATAGCACTGCTCCAATGCCATAATTGGAAGGTAAAAATTATGGTGGAGGTATTCCAATTTTGCAGCTAATAGATATAGAAGTTGCGTTAATTTTTGTAAATTTATGATTCTCTTACCAAAACTTTTGTGAAGCATAATCACAGTAATCAGTAGCCTTCTTCATAGCCAATCTCCATCGTTCATCAGATTGATTCGTAATTAGCAATATAACTGTTAGTTGTTGATAAAATTGAAGGAATTACATAGGCTAAAACTTAAAACTTAAATAGGATAAGAAGGGATTAAATAGGCTAAAAACTTAAAATGACCATTTTTGAGTATTAGAAAGCTTGCCAACACCAACAAAATTCTAAATTGGTTGGGCTCTAGTTTTACCATCCCCAGGCCCGGCACCCAATTTTTGTGGACTGGCTTGGAATCTAGGGGTCAAAAGTCTATGGCCCATGAATTGAGGAAATCCGGTTCATTGACATACCTAACTAATTCAAACTTTAGCCATTGACCCCAAATTTTTTTTGAAAATTAAATATTAGTTTTTTTTATTTATCAGTTCAATGTTGGAAATTATATAAAAAGCAAAACTAGGCTTATTTGTGCTGATCCATTGAATAACTCGCTAAAGAATAATCAGGATTGGTTACATTACATAATAATACTACCGTAGTATAACCATTACACATAATATTTACTCCATCACTTTAGAGAGGAAAATATGAAATCAAAAGGGGATCAATTTTGGTATTAAATATGTAACTTTAGAAATTGACTCATAGGTAAGAAAATGTAAAAACATTTTACAACAATAGTGATTATTAATATAATGTTCAATCTATGAGCTAAAATGAAAATTTTTAATATATCCGGCCATGACACTCAGGATCTTTATATCAAACCAGCAAACATGAGGCTTATCCCAAAAAAAAAAGAAAGAGGGAAAAAAAAAACCCTCTAGAAGAGGAAGTCTATATGAGGATCAAACAACATGAGGATACATACAATTAACAACATGGCCTGAGAAACTTCACCAGATTTTGGATGGCAAAAGAACTATTTTTGAAGGATGGAGGCCAAGTTGAGCTCAACGTCTTCTTTGGCTTTTCGATCAAATGGATCATCACCAATGTATAGATCTAGTAGTGATCGACACAAGAGTTGGCTCTGGATACTTCCCACCTCCTTTCCATCAACTACATAATTTCAAACGCAGATAAAGGGTCAACACAATGTATAACTAAAGAAAAAATTAATCTTGCTGCATACACAGAAACTTAATTGTTGCTTTCACCACAATCACTTCCCACGAAGAAAAAAAATAAATTTTTTGGACAAAAATGATGTTTCATCGAATCTGACATCTTCGTATGCCAGTGAACTTTGAATTAGAGAAGTCGTTAATCAAATTGCCAACAGCTCCAGTGCAAAGGCATCATCTTTTTCAGTCTGTCTAAACAAACAATCCCTTTTCACTTTCCATTCTGTGATAGATAAAAGAAAGAGCTCTCTTTTGAGATTTTACTGTATAAGGGGGCTAAGCAACCAGTCATGTATGGATTCATTAATACATGTGACCATCTCTTGTAGCAATACATGACCACAAATTAATGGAATTGTGCTAATCACCTTGATGTGTCAAACACAGACAACAAATTGAAGTATTTATTCTATGTTTATCATCGTGGTCATTGCTGTCACCATGATGCACCCATCATTTACAGCCGTTGCCCATCGCCCACAATACCATTTATTTGCCACCACCAACCACCTCCATCACCTCAGCCAATGATGCCATTAAAATACTTCTGCTAAATTAATTTTACATCGTCACTATTATCTTCAATATCAGAAAATTACTTCCACCATCATCATCAGGTCCATTATCTGCACAATTCCACTAGTATCCACTGTTCTTGCAACTAGAGTGGGTTCTCTCGCAGGTGCCTCTCAGTCAGCTTCCCTCCCCCTGCTTATCTGTGTATGATTGTGAGTTTCCAGTGCCTTACCCTTGGCCAATGCAACACACTAGGGAATTCTCGACTGACAGAAGTTCCTTAAATGGTCTTTAATAGGAACAACCTTTAGGTCATTCTGGTATGAATATGTAATTGTTTGGGTTTGTGAGATAAACTAAGCTATGAGAGTTATAGAAATGAAGATAATTCCATTATTGATGAAGAAAATAAAATCAATAGATCCCATTGTAAATTCATCTGAATATGCAGAACATCATAGAAACAAAGATCTTACTTGATGTCCGAAGCACTTGTTCCTTTTCCCTTGAGAGCTCTATGATTGATCCACGAGGAATTTTGTACTCATCACTAAACTGGGATGTAAACCTGTGATGAAAATGGCTGTTAGTCTAAAAACAAAAATAAACAGGGTATAAAGCAAGGAAATGAGAAAAATAAATGAAATTAACGTATTAACATTTTATCCGGAACTGATCTTCAGCAACTTCAATAACAGATAAAGAAGCAGGGGAAATCATCATCAAATGAAAGGAATATGACTAGAAGACAGGGAAGAATGACGCTGGGTTACTTGGATTGCGGGTCGGTTGGGTACGTGGTACGAGTACAGGTGCGGGGTACGTTGCTTTTTGCGGTGCGCGGTGCGGTGGGGGTAGGCTTAGCTTGTATGCTATTTTGGGTCGCGGTTCGCTTTGAACTATTATTCGGTTCGTTTCCATTATTACAAAAAAATATATAAATATATGCATTATAAAATGCAAATCAAGATCAACAACAACACATCAACTAATAATCATGTATAAAAAAATAATGATTGCATATTTTATTATAAAAAAAAGACAGAATATAAATTTAAAAACTTAAAATTTAAACAATAACACCCTAGAGAGCGATTAAATAGCTTTCTACTTGAAGCACAAATCAAAATAACTCTCTTAAACATCTAACAAGTCTCAAATAAAAATTACTTAATAATAAGAAAAAATTGGAACACATGAGTTAATTGACAACTCTTTTCCCTTTAACTTTCGCAATGTTCCCTCCTCTTGCAAATTACTAATTTGAGTCTGATGCAGTCCAGAATGACGGAACCGTGGCCTGTTAGAACTAGTAGGTAACTTGTCAATAGAGACGGGCATAGAAACATGTAAGGATGAAGCTTCCCGATCTTCGTCCCTAGCAATGGTAGAACTATCTGTATTGTCATCCTCCAAGGATTTCCATCGCAAATCCTCCAATCTCACACTAGAATCATCTATATATGTGTGCTCTGGATTTATATCCCATTTCTTAAAAAGGTCATCTTTGTAGTTTTCATTGAAACGTGATTGGAGACGAATATTTGAATAGATAAAAATCAATTTGTCAACTCTGGTAGAATTTAATCTGTTTTTCTTGACAATGTGAACAAATAAATACGTGCTCCAATTTCTTTTAGCTGAAGAACTAGTAATTGGTTGAAATAACACCTTTTATGAAAAATAATAAAACACATTAATAATGATAATTAATAATAGAACTAAATAACTTGTAATTTAAATTAGTACTTTTTTTGCCACATCTGCTAATTTTGGAGTTTCTGAACCACATGTTGACTACCAATCAATAGCATCCATGGTCACAACATCTGTTTTAGCAGCCTCCATAGCATAAAGACCCTTTCGCGAGTGAAAATGTGCATATTGTTCTCGCAATTGTTTTGTTTTTTCTACATCTTCTGCTATTTTTTCAAAAGCTTCCATAACACCTATGATGACCTCTCTATCTTGATTTGGAGTTTTCCTAATTGTACCTCCCGATGCTAGCTTAGTAAGATATTGAATATCATAAAATCGTGGTGTTAGTACAAACTCAAGACAATGCAAAGGAATATTCATCTTCTCCCATCTATCAAGCACAATTTTTTCAATCTGAGAAAATTTATCAATTTATCAACTTTCACAAAGCATACTGTTCATCTTCTCATAAATCTCACCCATTTTTTGACCTTTCCCATCACAAAATTTAATAAGAAAAAATATAGGCCTTTGTGATATGTATGATATTCTCCACATCCTCCCAAAATTCTTCACTAATAATGATTTCTGAAACCAAAGCACCAATGTAGAATTTTTCAGGAACGAAGAAACTCCAATTTTTTCTGTCTTTTATACTCTTTCTCGCAATTTTGCATATTCAGTCAAATTATTCATCAACAATAGACATCGTTTAATTTCTGTTTTTTTCCCGAGTGGGGCACCAAAAAAGTGATAATACATTCGAGTATACGAACTTGTAAATTTACCGCCGCAATGCTTACATGACCAACTTTTTGATCTCCCTGAATTTTTTCCTTGAGCTGCACCAATAAGATTGACTTCATTGAGTAGTAGTTTTAATTTTGCATCAACTTGTGATTGATATTCTTGTGTGTAATTTTTTTGTGTTAAAGAGTATAAAGGTAGTATGTGTAAATTGTTAATAGTGGTAGGGTAGCATGTATAATTCTTATTATTGTAAGTTAACTATAAATACAATGATATATGAGAACTAGGTCAAGCTTTTGACCTCTCTCTGTTCCTCTTTAATATATTGTGTTAATCCTTTATACTTAACATGGCATCCGAGCATGATTTAATCCTAAATATATTTTGGATAAATTAACTTAATCTGTGGTGGTGGTACTGTTGATCGTAGAAGTTACAGTGGTGGTGGTGGTGATACATTTGTTGTTGTGGTTGTGTGCTGTTGATCATTGCTAGTGGCGAGTGTACTGTTTGTCGTTGTTGGTGGTGGTGTAGTTGTGGTGGTCTGTCTGGTCATCATGATCGCTCGCTATGGTGGCTGAGGCATTGTTGTTCGCTGGGGTGGTTAAGGCGCAGTCGATCGTTCGTTGTGGTGGTTGAGACGCAGTCAAAGATTCCCTCGCTGTGGTGGCTTAGGGGCAGTCATTCGCTGGTGTTAGCTGTGGTGGTTGAGACACAGTCGAAAATTAGGGCTACGGAAACCCTAATCGTGAAGAAGACAAGGTCTGGATAAAAAAAAAAAAACCGAAGTCCGATTCAGTTAACCTTAGACTGATTCAAACCGGTTCAGTCAGTGGTGACTCCGTTCAGTGGTCCAGTAACCTTCTGTCCGGTTCAGTTAGGTTTTTGAACCGGTTCAGTAATCTTTCACTCCAGTTCATCGGTCTAGTGCACCTATTCTGCCCGGTTCAGCCTTCCAACAGGTTTTTGGGGTTCGGTTCAACCTTCCAGCAGGCTTTTGGGGTCCGGTTTAGCCTTCCAGCAAGATTCTTGGGTCCAGTTCAACCTTCTAGCAGACTTTTGAGGTCCGGTTCAGCCTTCCAGTAGGCTTTTGGGTCCGGTTCAGCCTTCTAGCAGCCTTAAGTGGTCCGGTTCAGCCCTCCAGTAGGCTTAACCAGTCCAGTTATGTCCGGTTTTGTGTTCTAGCATTATAACACCCCCTGTTTGCTATTTGCTGCACTGCTATGGAACCCAACCAGAATACTGGGTCTCTTACTCCAACTTTACCACCCACCTCTATCCCTCCGACTATTATCAATGGTTCCATGACCTCCGTTAAACTTAATGGGACCAATTATACTTTATGGTCCCGGTCTGCTCAAGTCTTTTTTCGTAGTAAAGGATTTAAGAAATATTTGATGAATCCTAAACCCGAGGAAGCTACTCCTGGATATGATCAATGGGAACAAGAGGATGCTCAGATCATTTTCTTACTGTTGAATAGCATTAAGCCTAGTATTAGTTCTACCTTGCTCTATCTTGACACTGCTAAGGAGATATGGAATCACTTGGCCACCATGTATTCTGGTACAGGTAATTTTATCCGTGCTTATGAGGTGTGCAAGGAGTACTTTCGGTTGGAGCAGGGTACTTTGAGTCTTACGGATTATTACTCTCATGTTTGGGGAATTTGTGAGGGGATGAAAACCTACCATCCGTTACTAGTGATGCAACAGTTTGGCAGAAGCAACATGAGGACCTGAATGTTGTTAAGTTTTTGGTAGGCTTGAAGCCTGAATATGAGACTATTCGTTCTCAGATTTTGAGTGGTTCTAATCTTCCATCACTGCTTGAGGTTTTCTCTCGTTTACAGCGTGCTACACTGTCTGCTCCTTTAGGCATTGATCATGGTGTCTCCACTGATCGCTCAACTCTTGTGGTTCCTAGTAGCCATAGTGATGGTCATTGAGGTAGACGTGATGGTCGTGGTAGTCGAGGAGGTCATATGGGTGGTCGTGGGAGTCGTAGTGGACCCCGTTCCTGTACTCACTGTGGTCGTGGAGTACACACTGTTGACTTCTGTTGGGATTTACATGGTAAATCTTCTGGTGCTGCTAATCAGGTTTCTTATCAGGATGATACCTCTGTTATTGCTTCCATACCTCAGTCAGTTCCGCCAGACATTGAATCGATTACTATTACACTGGGTCGAAAGGAGTATGTCCAGTTCCTGTCCCAGCAACAGGCTGTTCCATCTTCCTCCACTGCTACTTTTGCCCAATCAGGTACTGCTTCCACTTGTTTATTGTCCTCCACCCGTAGTCCTTGGATCATAGACTCTGGCGCTTCTGACACATGACTGGTGCGTCTGATATTTTTTCTACTTATCAGTCTGCTACTTCTACACATAGTGTTACTCTTGCTAATGACCCTTGTTCTAAAGTTTCAGGTCTGGGAACTACTCACTTGAGTCCTGATATGTCCTTATCATCCGTGTTATTTGTTCCTTATTTTCTTTTTAATTTACTTTCCATTAGTAAGATTATCTGTTATCTCAATTGTTCTGTAACATTTTATCCTTCTTATTGTATTTTTCAAAATCTCAAGACGAAGAGGAAGATTGGTACGGGGCATGAAGCCGGTGGGCCTATATAACTTTGATTTTGATTTACCTACTCGGGCTCTACAGACCTCGATGTCTCCTTTTCAATGGCTTGGACATCTTTCTCTCCAGAATCTGAAGCGTCAAGTTCCCAATCTTAGTTGTGTGTCGTCTTTGTCTTGTGAAGTTTGTCAACTTAGTTAGCATCACCGTGTGTCATTTCAATTTAGAGTCAATAATCGTGTATTTAGTCCATTTGAGTTGGTACATTCTGATGTATGGGGTCCAATACAAAATATTTTATCTAATAAATATCCTTATTTTGTGTCTTTTGTGGATGACTATTCTCGTGTGACTTGGTTGTTTTTTATGAAAGCTCGGTCTGAATTATTCTCTATATTTGAGACCTTTCGTAAGGAAATAAAAACTCAGTATGGTTGTCGTATATATATTTTACGTTCTGATAATGCTCGGGAATATGAATCTGATTCTTTTTTAGCTTATCTTAGTAAAACTGGTATTATTCATCAAACTTCCTGTGTTTACACATCTCCACAGAACAGTGTTGCTGAACGCAAGAACTGTCATTTGTTAGAAGTCACTCGTGCTTTGTTATTTCAGATAAATATTCCCTGTTATTTTTGGAGTGATGCTATTCTTACTGCTTGTCACCTAATTAATCGTATGCCATCCTCTGTGTTAAATGGGCAAAGTCCATATTCTATCATTTTTTCTGATAAGCCCTTATTTTTTCTAACTCCGAAGATTTTTTGGATGTGTCTATTATGTTCACAATTTGGGTCCTGGGTTTGATAAACTTGATCCTCGAGCTACCAAATGTGTATTTCTTGGTTATTCTTGCACACAAAAAGGGTATCGTTGCTACAGTCCTTCTCTGAGATGATACTTTACTAGTGCCGATGTCACATTTGAGAAATCTATTCCATATTTTTCAGCACCTTCTCAGCCTTTGGATTTAGACTTTGGATCACCTATTGTACCACAATCTCTTCTCTCATCTTCAGTAATTCCGCTGCCCACTATGTTACCGTCTACTTTACCTCTTCATGTATACTCTCGTCATCCTCGACCGTCAGCTGAGGTGTCTGTACCGTCTTCCTTACCGTCTTCTGATCCTGACCCATCAGGTAATTTCGACTCTTTACTTATTGCTTTTCGAAAGGGTACTCGTTCATGTGTTACTAATCATCTTCATTGCTCATTTTGTTTCATATGATGCCTTATCTCCTGTCTTCTCTTGTTTTACCTCTCAATTATCTACTATATCTATCCCTATGCATTTACAGGCTGCTTTATCTGATCCGAGTTGGAGGAAAGCTATGGAGGATGAGATGGATGCCTTACATCATAATGAGACTTGGGATCTCGTTCCTTTACCCCCTGGTAAACAAACTGTTGGTTGTCGTTGGGTGTACACTGTTAAATTTCACCTGGATGGTTCTGTAGAGCGTCTCAAAACCCGACTTGTTGCAAAGGGCTTTACTCAGACCTATGGTGTTGATTACAAAGAGACTTTTTCCCCTGTTACAAAAATTTCTTCTATTCGTATCTTGATTTCTTTGGCTGCTAATCTTGATTGGCCCTTGTTTCAGTTAGATGTCAAGAATGCCTTCCTACATGGTGACTTGGTTGAGGAGGTATACATAGAGCAGCCACCTGGGTTTACTGCTCAGGGGGAGTATGGTAAGAGTGTATGTCGGTTAAAAAAATCCTTGTATGGTTTGAAGCAATCACTGAGGGCATGGCTTGGTAAGTTTTCAGATGCAGTTTTAGAGTTTGGTCTGCTTCGATGCCAGACAGACCATTCTGTGTTTCACAGACAGACGAATGCTGGATATGTCCTATTGGTGGTCTATGTAGATGATATTGTGATTACTGAAAATATTTTGAAGGGATTGCCAAGTTAAAAATCTTCTTGCAGGATCGATTTCATACTAAGGATTTGAAAAAACTCAGATATTTCTTGGGAATTGAAGTGACTCGATCTAAACAGAGTATTTGTTTATCACAGAGGAAAGATGTACTTGACATGCTAGAGGAAGCAGGTTTGCTTGGTGGAATACCGATTGATGTTCCTATGAATTCAAATCAGAAACTATTGATGGATGATGGTGCATCATTTGAGAATCCGAGTCGATATCGTAGATTGGTTGGAAAACTCAATTACCTAACTATTACTCGACCGGATATCTCTTATGCAGTCAGTATAGTAAGTCAGTTTATTGGGTATCCTAGAGTACCACATTGGGAGGCTGTTACTCGTATTCTGTGATATCTCAAACAAGCTCCTGGACTTGGACTGATATATCGAGCTAATGGACATCTTAGAGTGGAAGGTTTCTCGGATGCAGATTGGGCTGATTCTCCTTCTGATCGGAGATCAACCACTGGTTATTGTACCTTCTTAGGAGATAACGTTGTCTCATGAAAAAGTAAGAAACAATCTGTGGTAGCAAGATCCAGTGCTGAGGCTGAGTATAGAGCAATGACACATACGATGAGTGAGTTGACTTGGCTGCTACACTTCCTCCAGGAAATTGGATTTTCAGTTCAACCTCCTTTACAGTTGTTCTGTGACAACCAGACAACTATCCATATTGTTGCCAATCCAGTGTTTCATGAGAGAACTAAACATATTGAAGTTGATTGTCACTTTATTCGGGACAAAATAGTAGCTGGGGAGATTACAACTCCATTTGTGAAATCTGAAGATCAGCTTGCAGATATGTTTATCAAAGCATTGAGTCGTACACGTCTTACAGCGATTTATTCCAAGCTTGAATTATATGATATATATAGTCCAGCTTGAGGGAGAGTGTTAAAAGTATTAGAGTAGTATGTATAAATTGTTAATAATAGTAGGGTAGTGTGTGTAATTCTTATTATTATAAGTTAACTATAAATACAATAATATATGAGAACTAGGTAAAGCTTTTGACCTCTCTCTGTTCCTCTTCAATATATTGTGTTAATCTTTTACACTTAACATTTTGGTTGCCTAGTGTTATCTTCTTTCGTTACTTCAATATATTCAACTTCTTGTTCATCAGCAGAATCATCCAAATTCTGAATATTAATTCTGAATTGTTCTTCAATATGAGAAGAATCTTGTTCTTCCCCCCTTCTTTTCCTAAAAACCAATTTTTTAAGTAATAAGAATTCAAGTATTCAACACAGTGGAGAGATATTGAAGGAATAATTGAGCAAAAAGAGGCAGTAGCCGCGGTACAAAGGGCTGCTGTTGGGATTAAAATATAATTGGGAGGGATTAAAATATATATACATAGGGTTGCAGTTAACGTGTATCTAACCTAATTTTGACTTTTTTATCCAAATTGAATTCGCTAGTCTTATAAAATAGTTGGGGTTTTTTGGTCTTTTTACACAACCTAGTATTGACTCTACAAGTCAGGAGGTAAATATTTCATAGAGTCTTAGACAACTTATATCACGTGACGTGAGTCGGTGGCAATTAAGAGAGAGAGAGAGAAAAGAAGTTCTCGACTTCTCGTCTCCTTAGTCGTCGACAAAGAATTCGAAGCAGAGAGAGAGAGAAATAAAAGTTATCAACTTCTCGTCCCCTAAGTCGTCGACGAAGAATTTGAAGCAGAGGGGGAGAGAGAGAGAGAAACAAAGAGAGGGCGATGAATCAGAGAAGTCGAAGAAGGTCGGAAGAAGCCAAATCGAAGTAGAGAAGTCAAAGTAAGGAAATCGAAGCAGAGAAGTCGAAGAAACTCGAAGTAGAGAAATCGAAGCATAGAAGTTAAAGAAGTCGAACCAAAGATCCATCAAGTAAGTTACCTACTCTTTACTTTAGCTTATTTAATCTTAATCTGTGTAATTTGCAATAATTTGGTTTGATATGGGGATCTGGGTTTTGTTAATTGATTGGATAAACAATTGGGGTAAGAGATTGGAGTGATCTAGGTCGCGAACGACCCACGTTTGGGGTCGTGCAACCCAGATCGCGGTTCGTAGGTCATCTCACGTTTTCTGCTAACCCTGGAATGACGTGCAAGTACAAGCATAAAAATGCTGAGGGCATATACACCTCAAGAAGTTCACAGGGTAATATCCTGTGAGGCTGCTACTTCTGAGCAAGTTCGGAGGTGAAATAAAGTAAAAAGGTCAAATACAGCCAAAGAAATAAAAAAAACTTACAAACAATGTCTGCACATGCAAAACCTCAAAATCTGGAACTTCTTTATATTCCAGATAGCTTACTAAATATTGGGTCCATCAAATATAATAACAGGCCAAGAGCTAAATGGTGACCAGTGGATGATGAAAGGAATTACCTTTGTAACAATTCTTTATTATCGGATCCCCCGAACTTTTGTAGTCTGCTGCCTACTGATTCTTCGAAAGCACTTCGTACAGACCGAATGCTTAATCTGCCATAAACTATTTGAAGCCTGACAGTCATGCAGATATCACTTTCCATAAGATCTTTATTGAACTCTTTGTTTTCCTTCAATTCAGAAACTGATATTGTTCCATATTTCTCACTCAGAAATTTCTTTATATCACTGTCATCGGCATAAACACCTGTGAACACCATACTATATTATACTGAGAACTTAAATTGTAACGTCAACTTTGTGATATACGATTATGGATTTATGGAAATACTTAATGAGTACACCAGGTCGCTGATGGAAATGTTATGATATGGAGAAGAGAGTACATTTTGTGAAACATGAACAAATCGACAATGAGCATGAGTCACTTAACATGAGTTACAATGGTAATTGGTTAGTGTTTCAGGGCTTTGTTGTCAACAATAGGCATTTTGGGGAAGAATAACATAATCGAGTCAGCAAAAATTGAATTGCAATAGATTTCACAAATACCAACTTAGCTGAAGAACTCCCAACATAATAACCAAAGTTTATAAGTGCCAAATGTTGAAGGCTTTCCATTAAGTGAAAGTTCATTGATAACTTTGGCATTGTCACCACTGATGATTTCACATCTTATTAGAATCAATAGAACATAATGAGATTGAGAGGGCGTCAATGAAATTTTATTCCATACGGCATTGCAACAATCAAAAGCCACCAATTGACACTGCCTCTATAATTGTATAACTGATAATCTCTGCAATTTAACTAAATTTCATGAAAACTAATTTGGTAGATTGCAAATGTTCCATGATCAATGCTGATAATGCCAATCGTTACCGAGACACAAATTGGAATTCCACACACACACACACACAAAATAAGCTAAAGAAGAGATGAGCTACCGAAAGCGTAGACATCGATGTTCTTTAACCCCAATACGGCCTTTTTCCGCAACCCAACTCCAAGAAGTCGCTGCGACTGTTTCAGAATTGACGGAAACGACATTCCGGTCTTGGATTCAGTAACCGGAGGTGGGTTATCGGAAAGAGAAAGAGAACCCCACATGGGAGAGGAGTTTTTGTTGTTTGGCGAGAAATTAGAGAGCAAGAAACTCAATGCATTTTGGAGAAAAGGGTTTGTCGGGTTCTGGGATATGCCCACACCAGCAGTGATTACGGCACCGGCGACGGCAACTGAGCACGCGATGACAGAGGCGGAGAAGGAGCGGGAGGACACATTGGAGGCGGTGGTGGGTGGTTGCTTTGAGGGCTGAGAAAACAAGAACGGGAAGCGCAGAGAAACCATGGTGGTGGTGACTACTCAATTAATTTAAGAAACCGAAATTGAGGTTGTTGTGGCGGTTGTATATTAGCTTGCGGGTGGTACGATCCTGAGCTTGGAATGTAATTTTGGTTGGGGCGGTGGATCTTTGGGCTTTTTCAGGTTGAGGGTATGGCCCAAAGTTCCAGGCCCATTTATGACTGGGCTGGTTTTGCCTTGTGGGCGTGGGATCTCGAAAAAAAAGGCCATGGGGTGTTATGACGTTTGCAGGTCAAAATGGACGGGTCAGCCTAATTGGATGTTAGTGGGTTGTTTAATAGTTATTGACAACGATTTGACTTGTCGTTCTCCCCTTGTTCGATGCAGAGAATAAAGGGTAAACTGAAAGAAGAGGGTTCGGGCGGGTGAGTCTCACCTACTGTTTGGTTAGACGGCTAAAACAAGGCTGTGATTCTATTCTAACTACCTGGTTTGGATAACATGACAAATAGTGTGGGTCCATGGGTTGTCAAGTCAGTCCATTCCGCCAAAAAAAGAGTTCGGTTACGATATTTAAATATTATTTTTTAGTATCACATTATATTTTTTATTTAATAAAATGAGTTATGTATAATTTTTATTTTATTTTATTAATGTTTTATTTTTTATTTTTAATTATTTAATTAAAAATTAATGATTGCGGTAGATAGAGGCATATGATACCAAAGTGTATACATTTTTATCTATAATATTTTAATTAAATTATTTTGATTCTTAAAGTATTAAATATGTTTCTACGTGATCTCTCAAATAGATAACATTTAAATTATTAATGATTTTTTATCATAAATTTATCACGTGATACCTAAATATGAATAAAAAATAATTTGAATAACTCTTGACAAAAAATATGTAATATGAATAGCTCTTGACCAAAATTTGGATCAAAGCTGTGTAATTTGGGTAGTTTTTTGAACAAATTTTCAGTTAAATTTGATTTAGAGTTATCCAATTTTTATTTTTTTTTGTCTATATTTATACATTACGTGACAAGTTTATAATAAAAAATTATTAGCAATCTGGATACTGTTTGCTTTAAGGCCACATAAAAATATATTCAATATTTTAAGGGCTAAAATAATGTAATTAAAACTAGATTAGCAATTTTACATAGTTGTTGAAGACCTCTGGTACAATCAACACTATAAAAAAATTACAATTTACATAGTTGTTGCCTCCCTCATCTGCCACTGCCGCTGCTGCCCCAAAACAAATCTAAACCAAATAAGCAAAAAAATTTAGGGAAAATTATACTCGTATTTTTTAGTTTTTTCACTTAATTACTCAACCTCTTTGATATTTAAAATAATACACACAGAGTCCTTGAGATTTGTACGCGTATAACATTTAGACTCCTGCCGTCAAATGTTCGTTAATAAATCTGTTAATAAATTACATTCCAACCCCTTGAAGTTTATAGGAATATAATACTTAGACGTTTCGAGTTTAAAATATTATACTTAGACAAAAAATATTCTAATTAAAAATAGAATATCAAATATTTTGAATATGGGTGGGGAATAATTTTTAAATTTATGTTAAACCCAGCACATCCAGGCCAGAAATTAAACAATTACAGCCACACTAAATTGATATCATCTATTTTATTAAAAGTAAGAAGTTGCATTAGTTCTGTTGATTAACCCATTACTCAAGCTAGTTAACTTAGAACACTAAAACAAAAAAAAACTAATTAACTTCATTGTTTCGTCAAGCTAATTTAAGTAATAGAAGACCCCTTTACTTAAGCAATTAATCCCATAAAATTTAGTTAAGTTGATTTAAAAATTTAATCCATTAATTGAGCTAATTAATCCCATTAATTGTTCCTTCATTATTTGTTTGGTGAACTTACATAATTGTTGATCCAAAAAAAAAAAAACTTACATAATTAAACACATCTATTAAGCCATTAACTAACTACCCCGATTAATTAATCTAATTAACCCTACAAATTGGACCCAATAATTAGGTAATTGAACCTTAATTAACACGTTAAATCCACCTATTAAGCTAATTAACCAAATTATGATTAGTTTGGAAATTTTGTGTTTAAAATATTTTGATGTCATCAAAGTTTGCTTATTTTTTTGAAACGAATGATAATAATTTGAGGACCAATAAACCTTTGGTCTAATGGTACTCCTTATCTTGTGAAAATTTTGTTTTCTTGAGGTCAAAGGTTCAAGTTCCTCTCCCCTCCCCCCTCCCAAAAAAAAAAAACAAAAACAGTTTGAGGCTGACGTTATATGAAATCAAAAGGGACTACTGTGTTGTTTTTCATATTTGAGAGAGTTTGTGTGATTTAATGACAAACTTCAAGTAATTTGAATGTAATGTACCATGTTTAAGTAGGTGAGAAACAGATAATCGAGCGAGGGCAAGTAACAATTTTTTTTTTTTCAAAAGCCAATTTTATTAATAGGAAGAAGTAAGCTTTACAATCAAAAGGAGAAAATTCAGCAAAACCCCTTTACAAGCGGTAACACACTCAAACAAACTAACAATTTTTTAATTTTTTTTTGTTATAGAGTGTCTAGACTTACGTCAACTATTCCATCGAGATCAGTGACTAGCCATTATAATTTAAGCTGATTTAGAGCATATCACCAAAGGAACAGAAATAACTAACTCTTAGGAAGTGTGTGAAGAAATTGAACTTGGGAGTTCTAGACGAAAAATTAAAGTCTTTAACTCATACAAACTCCATCATTGTAGAACCCCTTCATTATTTAAATATTATATAGTTTTTATGGATTTTGATGCAAGTTTTGTGGTTTATTTATAGTAAATAGATAAATAATTTTTTTTGGGTTACAAATTTTTTTTTTGGGTCAAATTATAATATTTTTTGGTAACTCGTAATCGATTCTAAAAATATTGTAATCGATCCTAACAAAAATTATAAAATAACCCTAAAAAATTATTAAAAAAAAACTTGTAATAACATTACAATACCAAATTATGTTTGGGTACAGCTGACTTATCCTTTAAATATATATATACCCACTCGGGGATAAAGAAGAAAAAGCATCTCATAATACAGAAACAGACACGGCCTAACATGGTCGACAAGGCCGTCCAAAGCATCAAGTTGCTATTAGATTCCATGGGCATATTTTATATGCAGGGGCGGCGCAACACATACAGGGCCAAAGACGATATATTTTAATGGGTCCTATTTATATCTATATCAATATCTACATCTTAAAATCATATCTTTATGTTTTGAGCCACAAAAATAATAATTTTAGAATTTATATCCAAATTTTTATAACAATCTTTATGAAAAAAAAAATAGTTGAGTAGTATTACCAGAATTCTCTTAACAATACTTGCAATTCAAAAAAAATATTCTACTTTTTTAGTGCAGGACAATGTTTTCAATTTAATGTTAGTTTATGTTTGTAAGAATCTAATCTCTATGTGGGACTAATTTGTCTACTTCTCTTTTTTTATTATTTTTTTATACTAAGAATACATAGTCTATCATGAATTAAAACTATAGAAGCCCAATTAATGTGAATTATTAGAAAACTATGTAAGGCCAACCATATTAAGTGGGCCTCGTTCTTTGAAATTCAATATTTTTTTTTGCTGTTGACTTTAGGATTTTTTGAGCGCGAATACATTTTTTTAGACTTACTTGAGAGAAAATGTATGAATAAATATTTTACTCAATTAAATTCAATTTTAATAAAATATTTTGTGATTAAGTATAAAATTTTGACATTAACCTAATTTGTCATTCAATTATTTATATAAATCAAATAGTTATACTATTTAGTAACACGACATGGTTACACCATTTATATACATTAAATTTAGTGTAATGGTAAACTCTTTTGTGTGATGATAAACCCAATTATTTATCTGGACGAGATCTGGACGAGATTATTTATATGGATGCACCACCAGACTTTCGTGGTGAACGGGAGTATGCTGGAAAAGTATGTCGACTGCGTAAGTCTCTTTATGGACTGAAACAGTCGCCACGAGCCTGGTTCTCTTACTTCAGTGATGTAGTCGTACGATTGGGGTTCACCAGGTGTCATTCTGATCATACATGCTTTATTCGACGGAATACTTCTAGACAATGTGTCATCTTTCTGGTATATGCTGATGATATTATTATTACTGGTGATGATGTTTCTGGGACTGCGCAGGTCAAGATAGACCTTGGGAAGGCCTTCGATGTGAAGGACTTTGGATTTTTGCAATACTTTCTTGGGATTGAGGTTGCCCGTAGAAGCAGGGGTGTTGTTCTTTCTCAGAGAAAGTATGTTTTGGATCTTGTTTCAGACACTGGGATGTTGGGGTGCAAACCGGCATCATCACCCATGATTCCAAACCTGAAGCTTACTGCTGAAGGTGAGGAGTTGAAAGATCCGATAGTTTATCAAAGATCGGTAGGTAGACTTATCTACTTAGTCAATACTAGGCCGGACATTTCATTCGCAGTCAGCCGAGTTAGTCAGTTCATGCATAGGTCATGTCAGCCTCATCTTGATGCAGTTTATTATATTCTTCGGTACCTCAAGTCTTGTCCTGGACTTGGGTTATTTTATGCATCAGGATCTCAGACCGGTTCTCTAGCCTGTTATTCAGATTCAGATTATGGGAGAGCATGTGATGGTCGATCTACTACGGGTTTATGTGTTTTTCAAGGGACTTATCTTATCTCTTGAAAGAGCAAGAAGCAGGTAGTTGTCTCCCGCTCGTTTGCAGAGGCAGAGTATCGGGCATTGACACTTGACATGTGTGAGATTATCTGGCTACGATCGATTCTTGACGAGTTGAGTTTTTCAGTGATCTCTCCATCTATATTATATTGTGATAATCAATCTGCTATTCAGCTCGCTTCTGACTCTGTACTACATGAGAGAATGAAGCATATAGAGATCGATGTTCACTTTCTTCAAGAGAAGGTCAGCAGTGGTCTTGTTACTCTATCGTTTGTGGGGACCAGTGATCAAGTTGCGGAT